GGCATCACCTTGTATTAGTTACTGTAGTGAGCTAACGCACAAATATTAGCACTTAATTATATAATTTCCAAAATTTTATGTACATGACATAGTTACTTGCACAGTGAATATTTTGTGCTCGTGTGCTATTTTACTTTTGAGAAAGATTAACGTTTACTAAATACGGAAATGGGTTTATCTTCTTAAGAATAATCATCTCCAGAGTATGAACTTCTCATAGCATGTTTGTCAAAAGTATGTTAACTTATTTCTAAGCTTAGGCAAAAATGGAGATGCTGTTAATATATATTTGGGAAAATTGCAGCCGAAGTACCAAACCTTTAGTTTATTAGCAGACTTTGCCCAAACCTTTGATTTGTGCCACCGTGAGTACCAAACCTTTCAAAAATATGCAGCTCAAGTCCAAAATGAGGGTTTCCGTCTGTTTGACCTCAAAATCCGTCAGTTGACCCCAAAATCCTTCAGTTGACCCCAGAAATTAAAAAACTAATAATTTGACCACATAAGACAATGCTAAAATGGTCATTTTATCATTTTAATATAAAACAATAAAAAAAAGGAAAAATGAAAATTGGTCATCTTCTCCAAGTCTCCAGCCTGGCTCTCCATTTTGTCTCTCTCTCTCTCCAACGCCCCGATTTACTTTGCGCCGCCTCCTCTGTCCGTCTTCTCTGCCTACTCCTCACACACTCACATCCACTAATATCTGAGTATCATCTTCATCTTATAACATAAGTCCCCAAAAAAGAAGAAATTTCATAAATTTTGAAATTAAGGTTTTTTTTTTTTCCTTTTTTTTACACCATGGATTTAGATTCCTACCATAATGCATCAAATACAGAAATTCTTAATTCATAGCTCAAGGAGAAACAGAATCTATAATTCATTTCCATCAAATCAAAACTCACAAAGAACCTTGGAATTGGAAATCAGAAATTGCTCATTTTCCAATTTCTAAATCTCCTAAATATTTTCCATTCATGTTCCATGGGGAACTTGAGATTTGATAATGGGAAGTTTTTACTCCAAATTTTTTACAGGTGGGAGTGGGGGCAATGATTTATGGGTATGGCCAGACGGTGGTGGCACTACCGACAGTGGGTGGAGAGTGGCATATGGTGAGACTGGTTTTCTCCATTATTGGGTAGGTGGGGATAAGAAGAAAGAAGAAATACATACAGAGGTTGTATGTACATGTGTGTGTGTGTGTGTGTGTGTGTATATATATTAGTTTAATTAATTAATTAATATTAAAATGATAAAATGACCATTTTAGCCTTGTCTTATATGGTCAAATTATTAAAATTTTAATTTCTGGGGTCAACTGAAGGATTTTGGGGTCAACTGACGGATTTTGAGGTCAAACAGACGGAAATCGTCATTTTGGACTTGAGCTGCATATTTTTGAAAGGTTTGGTACTCACGGTGGCACAAATTAAAGATTTGGGTAAAGTCTGCTAATAAACGAAAGGTTTGGTACTTCGGCTGCAATTTTCCCTATATATTTCCATAAGGGCGACCCATTGGCGCAACTTGGAGCTGCTAGAAATGACATTACGAGAAGTATAAACCACATTCTTATATTTTAGTAAAGCAATCGATTTGTGATGGATCTGCCATCTTTAGTCGACTTTATCAATCTACATTTTCGGTGCCAGATGCTTGAACATCCCTTTGTTGACTTTTTGAACGACAAAAAAGAGCATCAAAATGCATCTACCAGACCACAATATGGACAGTACACTTTCAGTGTGATTCCTGAAGTGTTTTTGTGCTACAATAGTGATGGACAATATGGAATCTAGAAAGAAAGACAACACAATATTTATTTAGTTCAACGGTAGGCTTACGTCCATGGGAGCAAAGTGACTGTGAGGCATGTATTACAACAATTCCTTATCATTGTTCCTATATTTCTAGCATGAACGACACTATAGCAATGCATCATAAACCGAAAATATCACATAGATCCCTCGTCTCCTTGTCTGAGGGTATAGTAAGATGTTATAGACTCTTTGAGCTTAGGTCGATCCTAAACCTAAAAATGTCTCATCGTATGAGTAGTCCATTGATTTTGCTTAATGGATTGTTGAATTCTTGCTTTGGAATAAATGGAGGAAAATGGATTGACAACAATAAGCACAATACTTGTTACTACAGTTGAACACTAATATTACTTTATACTGCTTAAAGTTGATAATCACATGTTAAAATAACAACTAATTAGTATTCCTTGGATCAGCCAAAATATTTAAAGCCCTCTCAATTTGAAATTTTAGCGCACCCGGACTTGCCGTTGCATCTGAGGTTAAGTTTTCTTGTTTTTCATTTTACTCTCTTTAATTTCTTCTCGTCTTGGTCTCTCTTCTTTCTCTATCCCGCCTTACATAAAGTTGAATCTAGTGTATGATTGAGTTTGATGAAGTCCAAATACATTTATTTTATATAGAAAAGTATATTCATTTATTTTATTATTTATTTTTTTTTTTAAAGTGCATTTTGTTCAACCTGGTCTTCGAGATAATTGAGTTTTTCACAGAATGGACGGCCACGATTTCACATACGCAACAATGCAACACCAAAACAAACACAATAATACTGCACACAAGTAGAATAATCTGTGCATTTGAAGGCAAGAAAATGCCATGAAGTTCTTCAATACACTCTTTCGAAGGAGGAGAGAAATCCTTGAAGAAACAACAAAAGGTTAAAGGGACAATGGACATTTTAAGATCCTGAGGTTCCAACAAAAATAGAAATTTATTTATTAAAGAATTAGAATTACCACCACATCCCCTATTATGTAATCAGAGAAGAATGGATTAAAAAAAAAAATAGTGAATTTACTGTTGCACTGGTGTTGAGGGGAAAAATTAAAAAACAAGTTAATGGTTGTGGTTGTGGTGAAAACAAGAAAAATATTGGAGGTCAAAAAAATATATGTAGAAGTGATCACTTATGTAATTTTATTTAGGGTTATGTTAGTACACATAGAAAAATAATTAAAATTGGAGTGGTAATATAATCAACCTTTTTAAATCATAGAAAGTACTCATGTCACAGTTTTTCTAAATGCATAACATTTTAATTGCAATGAAAGCTTCTAACTTTTGTTCATATTTGCACTTATTTTTCCAACTTTTGCATCATTTTTATCATCAACTTTCTATTAATAAATACATATTATTAAGATTTGAATTCAATATTAAAATAATCAAGTTTATTAAGAGAGGTAGTACAAGCACTTATAAGTTAATCTATATTTTCATCTTTATTCGATGTAAAATTTATCCATTAACCTGTCATCACAAGATAGTGGCTTGTTTAAGCACACAAATCTTAAAGTCTGTATGCTCATTATTTTTTTAGTCTTAATTGAATCAAATTACTTGTTGGAGTTTAATATGCCCTAATGCCAATTAAAATTTGAGGTTCATCTTCAAATGTCAACTTTATTAAAAAGAGTAGTACAAGCTAATAAGTTGGTCGATATTTTCATCTTTATTCGATGTAAAATTTATTCCTTAACATATATTGTTTTTGATAATATTTTCTGTCATAAATGCGGTAGGCTGTGTAAAAAAATATATTTGCCCGTCATTTTCAAAGCATGCTAATAAAATATTTTGACAAAAGTCGTCATTGTTAGAGAGAAAAAAAAATAATATATATATATATATATAGTAGGACATAAATAATTTTGTACCCGATAAATTAATAAACTCGATTGAAAAATATTTTTTATTGGCCCTGACTTGGGGATGACTTGTTAAATTAATTAATCACTATATTTATATAATTTATTATGAAAGAAATTCATATAGATCTTAAATAATATATAACCTAATAATTTCCTATTGCATTATAAAAAATTAATTTTCTGATACGTAACGTTTATGATTCAACACTGAGACCGTATTATTTAATTAATAGATCGTCCTTGGTCCAAAGTTATTAATTTATAGAGATTTAAATGTATTTACTATTCTACCATTATCCATATATTACATTTGAAAAGCCTTTCTTAATAAACAATTCTTAAGGATTAATGTCTTCTTTTAAATTGAAAAAGTTCTTTTTTTATTCTTTTCGCAAAAATGGTTACAACCCGATATTACTTTTCAAAGTTAACATTTTAATGTAAAAATATTGTCATAACCTTCATTTTATCATTTTCATTCAAGAATGATATGTAGCGGTTATGTTAAATATCAGTTGTGATATAATGGTCAGCTAAGCAAAATGGTGTCTTTTTGGAAATTAGGTGACACGGTGGAAAAGAAATGTTAAATTTAAAAATGAAGTTTATTGACTCAATTAAGATAAATTAAAGTTGAAATATCCAATTGAAATTTCGCTAAAGATTAAGTCTCAATTTGGCAAAATTTATAAATTTTGAAACCACAATCTCAAAAGAATAATTCTATTTGTAGTTACTCACTATCGCAGTCGCCTAACGTGGCATACATGTAGCGATTAGTGACTACGACAGTAAACAGTTGCAAATAACATTATTCATTTCAAAAATATATTGTCACGGATTTACAAGTATTGTTTACTTTTTCATAACTCATTTTCTCTTTTTACAAGTAACAATATTTATAAAATCTTCCTAAGCGGAGTCTAATGCGACTAATTTATCCCGAAACATCTCATTGCCGACAAACCCAAGCCAACCATCAAATTATGCAAATGGGCCAACATTTTTGTGAAAAAATCAGTAATGGCCAGAGGCTTTTAGCAATACCTCGCTGTATACAAGTGAATTCAGGAAGTGGTCCTTAAAAATATAACGATTCTCTAAAGTCACCTATTTAATACTTTTTTTTTGGCTTTTCTCAACTTATTGCAAAATATTTATGAGAGAGGACATTGAGGCCTAACTACTTTAAGTAGTAAGGTCAACTTGGTACAAATTACCCTACTCCGATTTGGCTTTGAAATTAGGGTCGTTTGAGTAATATAGCTAAAAGCGAAGGACCATTAGCATAATAATTCTACCTAATATCCGAACCGCCAAAAGCCCTAAATTATCTCCCTCACATTTTGAGCTAAGCCAATATCCCTTTGCTTCAAATCTTTCGCAAATTTGCTTTCTGATATCTGCAAACGCCATGTCAAAACGGTACCAGTTCATATTTCTTGATTCGTTGAATTTTTGTTTTACAAATTATTCTGATGACATTTGATATCCAATTTTTTCTATTTTTTTCCGTGTTTTAGATCATATGTTTTAATTTATGAAAATTATGTGAAATGGGTTTTGAATTCCCGATGCTTCTGTTCGATATCATGCCTTTCCAGAATTGATTTCTTGCTAGAGAACTGTATAATTTTATTTTTATTGTTTTAATTAGAGAGTCAATGGCAAGCAAAACGAGCGAAATTTGTTTTCAAGATTGAACAAAATATGGGGCTGGCAAAGAATTAGCTGTGGATGAAAGAAAAATGAAGAGCATTCAATTCAATTCTTGGTACGTAAAGGAAGAAATAAAGTAAAAGAAATACGAAGAAAAGATCATCTGAGTTATTTTATCTTAAGATGTGGATTTCTTGGCTATCAAATTGTCTGAACCTTGTTTTTTTCTCTCCATAACAACTATGCCTGCACCCAGTTTCGACAAATTAGAAATTGAAGCCATTCAAATGTTAATGGGTTGCCTTCTTTGATACATGTTTCCTGTTCTGTGAAGTTCTGGACATGTGGTTACCATATTCTTTAGTATATGGAATTGGTATAGGGCTACAGAAAGAGGTATAGGCTTTGATCAGGACTTCATGTTCTCTTCATTGGGGAACTGAAATTGAGGGACTGGGGCATCCGGATTAAATAAAAAATAAAAAATGGCGCCTTGCTCTGGTTTTAATAAACATATTTCCTATCACATTTCAACTTTAATTAGCTTTGATAGGAGTTTGAAAGATGGTTTCGTTCAAATATTAGGGTTTCCATTGGCCTAATAATATTATTTTTAACAAGGTTAAGTAATTTAGGGCTAATCATGATGTATTTCCTTGACTTGGATGATTGATGCCTTCTAACTTGGACAGTCATGGTTTCGGTGCAGTGCAATTTTTACATCTGCTGCTGATCTGTATAATTATTTTTCTATATCAGTTTTTGCTCACTAATTTATTTTCGCGTAGAGTTTGAACAGCTTCTTTTGTGGCTAAATTTTCACAACAGTACAATCAAATCAATTACATCGTTCTAATTTATAAATTAGTGTTGGATTTGATGTTGTTTTCTGTGCACACACAGACAATATATTGTACAAACTATTATTTTACATACTAAGAGTTTCTAACAAATTCTTCTACCAACTCTAGCCTCGCAAAAAGGAATCTGTCTAAAATTTTATGGGACTAGGCGCATCATAATAAATACAAACAGCCTAATGCATGATTGTTGAGAACTTTTGGTAGATGATGCATTTCGTGAATTGTTTATTATGCATTTTGTGGAACCCAACCATCATTTGTTTGGACTAATTCTTGTTAGATTGACCACAGCAATCCAATTTTATCTAAACAACGAGTTCCTAAATGAATTCTCAGGTGCATCACAAATTTGAATCTAAAACTGTACTTCTATATTGAAGAAAATATTTTTGCTTTGCAGTTCTTTAGAGATGGCTTTGGCCTAATGGAGCATTTCATAAATTCACATGTTTGATTATTTTGATGCCTTCAGGGTTCTTTGCAAATTCTTTGCCCACGGGGCATGTCTAAAAGGGGACCATTGTGAGTTCTCGCATGATTGGAAGGCCCCGCCAAATAATGTAACATTTTAGCAACTTGCTTGGGTTTTCAAGCCACTTATTGGTGGTAGCAATAGTGATAATTCTTGTGCTGTATTGTTGCAGATATGCACCTTCTACCAAAAAGGAGTTTGTGCTTATGGTAGTAGGTGTAGATATGACCATGTCAAAGTTGCTCGTTTACAATCTCCAGCTCCATCTTCATCAGCATATTCTCACCAACATCATTCTGTCCCCGCTGATCATCCTTCCGAGTCTGCAGCTGATACTGCAAGTGTTGTCACAGCTGTTACTTCTGAGCTTTCAGCTTCTGGTGGACCTTTATATCTTCCTACTACACCTGCATGGGATGAAAAACTTCAGCATCCTGATATGACAGAGAATGATGATGTTAGGGAGCCGAGGAGTGTTAATCCTGCTGACCGACCAATATGTTCTTTTGCTGCTGCGGGTAATTGTCCTCGTGGGGAAGAATGCCCTCACATTCATGGTGATCTGTGCCCCACCTGTGGGAAACATTGCTTACATCCTTTCAGGCCTCAAGAGAGAGAAGAACATGTGAAAACATGTGAGAAAATGCAAAGAAAATTAGAGGCATTAAAACATAGTCAAGAAATAGAGTGTAGTGTGTGCCTCGAACGTGTTCTATCAAAATCTGATCTGGCTGAAAGAAAGTTTGGAATATTATCAGAATGCGATCATCCATTCTGTATATCATGTATTAGGAATTGGCGCAGTAGTTCACCAGCATCTGGAATGGATGTTAATTCTGCACTAAGAGCCTGCCCAATATGTCGGAAGCTTTCGTACTTCGTCATTCCTAGTGTCATCTGGTATTGTTCAAAAGTGGAAAAGCAGGACATTGTTGATAGTTACAAGGCAAAGCTTAGGTAAGATAGACCCCCGTCCCCACTACCTGCAACTCTCTCTCTCTCTCTCTCTCTCTCTCTCTCTCTCTCTCTCTATATCTCTCGTACACATGGGTAAGTAATTTTGTTTCAGGTCTATTGATTGCAAGCACTTTGACTTTGGGAATGGAACCTGCCCATTTGGGACCAGTTGTTTTTACAAGGTAAATGAATTTTTAGTTCTTTTTGAACTTTCTTGTGAATGTAAATAATGTGTATGTCTAAATCAATGTCCATAGGAATAAAGCCATTTGAACTGCCTAACGTCCACCCTTCTCAATAGTGTATAAAAAAGGCTAAATTGTGTATCAAAAGTTTTGCCTTTGTGTGGTGAGTCATAATCGTCAAATTACTTTAAAATCCTACTAGAATATTGAACTAATCTAATCAAAAAAACATGATTCAAATAAAATTCTACTTGAAACCCCTATCTAAATCTGGTATTTATTCTTATCTGTATTCCCATCATTAAGCCTCAAGATAAACCTATAAAATAGTTATAAAAAAAATTACAAAAGCACAAGTTATACTCGCACTATTGTCGCTTAACAATTCATGATAAAATAATACTACAAAATAAAAATTCAAACGTACAACTTGAAATTAAAATGGATAAATGAAGTAGCATAATTATAAAATAACATAGTCAAATTGATCGCAATACCACTAATCACAAATAATATTGAATGTCTTGAAATTATGCAATTGTTTAAGAACATCACTTGTTTTGACTTTAAAAGAAAGGAAAAATCTGAGAAAACAAAAATAAAAATTCAACATGAAGAAACATATGAAAGAAATATGAGAGTGAAATTACGTGTAGCAGATCTCCCATTGTTGGCCGTCCACAACTGAAAATGCAACTTCGCTTATGAGGGGTTTAACTCACTGTAGGAGGCTAGGGGTGACTCTTCTCCTTTTTATTTCTCTAATTGCCTACTCCTTTTTCTAGTTATTATGGATGACTTTTTTCCAAAGCCTCTAAATAACCCTTAAATCAATTTAGGCTTTTGAAAGCATCAGCCTATCAAGTTGAGATCATTAATAAAAATATGAGAGATGGTAAGAACAAAGTAGCATACACTCCATGTACGTCAGGTTATGGCTGGAGGCATGCATCTAGGAAAATGGTACTAAACCGAAACTTTGAGACTCTTGATGAAACGCTAATAGCAGACATGTCTTAAAATGTTAACCTATGGCTTTTGAGACCAATTCCTTCTGATTATTTCATCAATTTGCCTGTTGTATTAAAGAGTTTTTGAGACTCTTAACGAAAACCTCACACCAGACATATCTTTAAATGTTAGCCTCAGTCACTTCTGAGACCAATTCCTTCTGATTAATTCATCCTTCTGCACCTCTCTAATACAAGAAGGCAATTTGCCCGTTGTGTTTGAATATGTATTTCCTTTTCAGTTGAAACTATAGATTATAAGGTGAATATGAATTGGATCTAATTTGCTGTAAATTGCTATAGTTGTGATTCAAAATGCTATTATTCTTCTCAGTTGTCAACCTTGCTTATTGTTTCTGAATGTTGGATGCTTGACGTTTCTATAGGAGAAGAATGTTTTTCCAATCATCCAGTGAGTGCACTCACCATGGAGACTATATCTTGGTAGCATTAGAGAATTATACTAACAAGATTTTGTTGTCATGGCATTGTTTTCAAACACGTGTGGCTGAGAAAATTGTGAGCTGCAACAGAGCTAACTTAACCCATGTGCTAAAGCGTGGACTGGCACACCCTATTGAGGGGTAAAATTACACATTTGTAGCTGTCAACTGGCATAGGTTTTACAAGGAAGAAGTAGAGTGGTGTCAGGACAAAGGGAGCTGGGGAATTTGTGTGGTGCTAAGTCCAGATTAGAGGTATACTGTTGTCAATGAGCCCAGTTGAGATGCCCATCAGGTCATATAGCTTGACTTGAAATCATAATTTAGCGACTAAATTTTTTGTTTGAACTAAACTAGAAAGCAAAGATGAGTTCCACAGTTTGTGTACAAAAAGTTAGTTGAAGTTTTCTTCATTTTCAGTTTGAACAGATCTTAAATCAGCTTCAATGTCTATCTCAAGTAGATCAAGCTTATTTACAGCCAAGAGGGGGTGTAGGTGGTGCTGGTTATGCTTAACGAGAAAGGAGGGTAAGGGTTGGGTGTGTGTGGAATGGTGTTAATAAATGTTTTTAATGTGTGGAGTAAAGGTCATGTATTTTAAAATATGATTCAATTCTACTGTTACATATCTTTGTTAATCAATCAAATATTACCGTGTCAAATGTGCTGCAACAGGGTTTTGATCCAAGTGGTTTGAGTGATGAGAATAATGATACCCCTTGAGTTGTATTTTATTGAAAAATTTGTGGTGTGCATCTTGATATCGTTGAGTTGTATCTGTTCAATTGGGAGTTCTGTAGTATGGACCTTTTCCATATTTTGTTAGTATTTGTGTTGGACTTAGCTACTAGCAATTCTTGTGTCTTGAAGTTCTGATGGTGATGTGTTTTGTTTGCCAGTATAAATTTTATCTATGCTATGCTTGTGCAGAATAAAATCAGTTTTTCGGTGCTTCTTGTTGTGAATCTCTTGTAACACATCTAATATGTGGTAGCTAAGGTTAATGAGGACTACAAATTTAATGTGATCGTCTTGTTTCAAAATGAGTTCAAGTATAGAGAAGGGTTGTCAATGAAACTTGGGGAAGTGAAGTTCCAAGTTTTGTCTGGCCTTGATCAATTAATAGTGAATTACCATTGAAACTTTCGTGTTATAGAAATCTTTATGAGTGATTGGTGAGACAAGTTTCCCCTTTTGCCTTTCTTATTTTTATTGTTTTAATACATCATTTGTGTTGAAGGACTGAACCAGCATTTGTGTGAAATAAAATGCCATATTAATTTGCATCTAACCAAGTTTGGACTTTGGTTGCACATTGAACTTCAGCGATTAAACTACTCTATGTGCAGTCTAGCTGCTGATTCAAAATTCATTAATGACTTCTACGATGTTGATTGACCTATACAACTAAGGACCGAAAAAATATGATTAGATATGTGATTGTGAGGATGAGGTTTTAGATGGCCTGCCCTTAATTTTCTATGTATGGGATTGTCCGGTAAAATAAATGTATCATGATGTCCTCATCTTCTGTGCTTTTTGTCGCATATGCATGCATTTGCTGCTATTTAAACCCTAACACTTTTTACATGTGTTCCACGTTTACAGCATGCATATTGTGATGGTCGGCTGGAGGAAGTGGTTCTTCGCCATCTTGGGGCAGAAGATGGAAACACGGTGATTGCTAAAAGTGTCAGGTTTGTGTTTTTCCACTAATTTCGTTCTTACGCACTTCTTTTATTGTGTTTCCCTTTTTCCTTGTCTATTCCATTTATTCGTGTTCAACAATGATGTTCTCAGGCTCTCGGACTTTCTTAGTAACATACAGATCCGTTGATGGAAGCTTTAAAGTTTCCTGGAAACATTCAGGTCTGTTTTTTTGTACTACTTCCACACTTGCTTTTAACTTTTGTGGTAGGAAAGCTTTTTTGAGTTTCCAACTTTTAGATGATTCCATTTGTGATCTTACAAGATGGTGCATCTGAAGCATCAATATAAATAAACATGGGGTTGAAGCTTGATCTCTTGTGTAACTTGTCTCTTCCAGTCATGTATTATGTTTGACTGTGCATTCAACTGCAGTAGTACATTTACACACCATATTTTTCTTTCAATCATTAACGGGAAGTTTTGCAGATGCCATATTACTATCATTCCTGGAAGTTCCTTTAAGCTTCAGTATCATCACAAATTGTAGTCGGCAACTGTTTTCAAAAGCCAGTGGTTTCCCATCATCATCTTATTGATTTGTCTTTAATTTACACATTCTGAATTATGGTATTGAAACAAGTTACCGTATAATTCCGACAATATTCTGTTTACTTAACCCCTGAGTTTTGTACCTGCAGGGGCATTTGGCAGCATAGTGATGTAATTTTCAAACAGAAGAATATGAAATATTGATGGGTACAAAGTTGCTTTTACCTACGGTGAGATGCTATCTTTTGTTTCATGCTCTTTCATTATGGTAATCCTTCTTTAGGAAGAACTTACTTGTGTTTGTTTACTTGAAATCCTCCCTTGAGTTGTAGACTACGTTTGAAGAGAAAAAATAATTGTTCCTCAAGGGTGCAGAAGCACTAATGCAGCATTTGAAAATATTAGCGTTTTTTGTTCCTTTATCTTTGGTTGTTAGGTACTTCATTATCGAAATTCTGGAAAATAATAACATTCTGAGAGACCTATAGTAATTTTCTTGTATAGGGTGGGTCGACCTTGGTTTTTATTAGCTTCACCTATTCACCTAGGGTGCAGGTAACATGGGACCTTATGGATATGAACAGTTGAGATCTGCTGTCCTGAACTTCATGTCTCCTTGGTAGTCCCCATTACATTTTTAACACGTGTCAGTACTTTTTCGAAAAATCATGTGACCCAACACGTATGGTATCAAATACACTTGTCCGTTTCAATGCATCATAGATAAAGAATACGGGTCTTTTTATTTTAATTTTGGTTGGGGGTTGAAAAAGCTCTCAAGATCTTGTTTACTAATAATATAGAAAGAACAAATGAAAGCTTTGCCCTTTTTCGTTTTTTTTNTTATTTACAGATTGCTTTTTTTATACAAAGATCATCAGAATAAAGGTTGTGAAAATGGTTTTACATGTAGCCAGACTATTTACCACATTGATAGTGTACATTACAATACGTCTGGCATTGCCTTTTTGAGGGTAATCTGTTTTGTGTTGTCAAATTTGGCAATTGTCTTGGTTGTATTTTCATTATAATATACTTTTTACATGATAAATTATTCGATATTGATTTTTAATTATTCTTTTGGTTGGACCATGTGTAATAATTTGAGCCTTAGTTTCATGACGCTTAGCTTGCTAGTCATTTTTAGCGAGGGAAAATTATACATGTAAATCTCATCAATTTTCAATGAAATGATGGTGGTTGATTGGCTTGGTTCAATGACAATTTGGTGTCTGGAATATGAACTATGAATGATGGTGGTTGATTGGCTTGGTTCAATTTCATTGACAGATCTATGGGGACCAAATCAGTGGTTTCGGTTTAGTTTTGCGGTTTTTATGATTTTTGCTTACAACCCTATTGTCATATCTCATCCTACGTTTATTTACGTAATTGATCTTCCACGTAGTTATGATTTACCGGAGAATGAAAATGATAATATGACGATTGATGATGTCTTTTAAATTAAAAGGTTGAGCGATGTATTTTTATATTTCCACATTAACATACCATACAAAAATTATGTGAAAAAGACACCTGGGATGATTGCTAGTCAAGTAATTTTCGACAATTTCAGAAACAAATGTAGGAGTGAAATCATCAACCGTTGAATCAAATAGAAACTGTAATTTTGAAACCGTGTTTTCGGTCCATATGGTTTAGGCTTCAAAGTCAAATCAAATCGTTTTGAAATTGTTCTGTTTATCTGTTACATATATAGGTTTTTACTTGTTATATTGGATATTTCATATGAGTTTAATAGTAAAACCCACAAACTATATTTCACCAATATTGACCAACTTTTATTTAAAAAAAATACTTGCTCTATTCAAGATATATTAAATCAACTTATATTTCAACAAATTTACTTTTTAGTGAGTCTTACTGGTTCTTTGGGAAAAATATGATTTATTTATGATAATTCTTCTATTATCTAAAGAATAAAATTGTAGGCTCAAAATTTATGGCTGAGCTTTTATTAATTATTGGTCAAAGCTTCTATTGTGAAAAATATATTAGAAATGTAAAGTTTATGTTTGGAAGCTTTTAGTTTTAATTTAAGCTTCATAGTGAAGCTTTAGACCAATATGTTTATTTTCACTTGTTTGAAAGATTTTTTTTTTTTTTTTAAATTGTCGCTAAAATCATGACTTGAAACCGAATCAAATCACAAAAAATGTTGAATTTGATTTTATTCGAAAAATGAAATTGTTTGGTTTGATTGGAAATTTTTTTTTTAATCGTTTAAAATTATTTCATGGTTGGTTATATTCACACCATATATATATATATATTTTTTCAAATATATAACATTTTAGTTACATTAAAGGTCACTAACATTTATTCACTATCACACTTATATCCTTTGCTTTTTTCCTTCATCACATTCTTAATTTTAATGTTTCATTAATCAGAAAATCTTGTCATGTAATCATGGTTTTTCCAAAAAATATTGTTAATGTGCTTTAGAATAAAAGAAAAATATTTAATTGAATTTTTACATTTTTTTTATTTAAAAATATAATGGACAAATGAATCTTTTTACTATAACGTAAATTTTGGTATAATCAAGAACAATTTATGTCAATTTGAGAATAAAAATATGATTAAAAATTTGAGACAAATGTGATAATGTGTAAGTGTTGTAAACCTTTCATTCTATTAAAATGTAGTCTAGTTATTAAAAAGTGTGGTGTGAATATATTTAGCTTTGTTTTATTTTAAAACATATATAAACCTCCCAGACAAGTTCACCCCTAACGGTATCTAAGGGAGCTATGAAATTTGAAATCATTGCAATTCAGATGTTTGATTCAGTTACAATTCCATGCTTTTCCATTTTCCACTTTTGTTGGTGTTTGATAGACATTTATTTTTTGGTAATTGGAATTTTATTTTTGCTTCACACGGTGAATTTCAGGTATTTTTATTATTTTTTTCGTTTTTATTTTATTATTATTATATTTTATTTTTGTTGGTAATGGAAACAAATTCTAAGAATTATTGTAAAAAATATATATATTTTCCTTTAATTGGCAATTTTCATGTAAAACAAAGCAAAACGAACATCGAAAGATTGATGATTTTTTTTAATTTTTTTTTTTTTTGGCAATGGAAACAAATTTTATCCCCAATACCAGTAAAATTAATCACTTTAATTGACAATTTTCATGTAAAACAAAATCAAAATAAGATCAAAAAATACTTTTATTTCAACATTTTTCACGTAGAAAATTATATCAATCAAATACAATAATTTACAATTCTCAGAAAAATAATTTTTAGGCAATTCAATTCCCTGAAATTCGTTTTCTTTCCTACGAAATTTCATATTTGCAATCAAATGGACCCTAAATTGAGGTTTGTTTAGTCACCCAATTTAAATTTCACTGGAGATTCAGATAAAACTTAACCTATAATTATGCCGTTATAAAAGGTGGAAATTACATTCTCACATGTATTTTACTTCCAAATTTCAAAAAAAGATGTAAAACTTATTTATTCAAAATTCAGGTATTAATTCAACTTTTTAATTTTAGTAATGATAAATTAATTTAATCTCTCACTTCAAAAGAAAACATCTCTCTTCATGGCTAAAATCAAAGGTGGCGACAACTCTCCGCCCCTCTCTCTCTCCCCATCAAAGCTAGTGACATAGGTGGTGCCAACAATGACATCTCTACCTCCACCAGTCCCCCCACTGAGTGCTTACACTTTCAATGGGCCCTGGATTAGGCGTGAGAAATACTCATCATCTTCCAACAAGCGTCGCCCATTGTCGCTGTGATAGCTTGCTCATTGCCAGAAACTTTGCAGGTCGTGGCTGTAGCGTCGTAGATTGCGATGATGATGGCACAAATTGTGGTTGTAACAGTCCAAATTGCGTTTTACGGTGATGGTGGGATGAAGTGACGGTACTGCTAGGGGCTATGACGAGGTATTGATGGTGATGGTGGCACCTAGAGGTGACGATTCATGTGATGGTGGCGTTGGTGGAGGCAATCAGATTTCACTATAAGTGCCATTAGAGGCTCTACAGATCATGGCTATAGCGGCATGGTGATGGCATAAATTGCAACTGCAGTAGCGTGGTGATGACGATGCAACGGTGTTCGAATGTGTGGTGCGGTGTTAGTGGTGTTGTGTTGTTGGGTGGTGGTGGTTTTCCATATTTTGGTGTTGGGATTTCGAGGTGAATTTTGTTGGTGGATCTGGAGCAACGATGTGGTGGCATTCTCTGCAATGGGTTAATTTGTTTAAAATTGTGGTGTTGTTATCGGGAGGTGGTGGTGGTGGTTTTGACGACGATGATGGTAGTGGTGTTACTGGAGGCAATGGTGAGATTATGGTCACAAATTAATTGGTTGATTGTGACAATTAAATTAATTAATCTATTACCAATGAAAAAAATAAATTAGGACCAAAAAACAATATGTGATCTAAAATTTGTTAATTTGTGACAGATAATTTGACAATTTGTCACTATATAATAAGTTGTAACTTATAAAATTTGTGATTTATGATCGATAAATAAATTTTGACTTATAAATTTTTGATTTATGATCAATGAACAAATTGTGACCTATTAAATGTTTAAATTGTGATTATAAAATAATTTGTGATGTATAAAAATTCTAATTTGTAACCCAAAAATAATATATGACTAATTAAATAGTTAATTTGTGATCAAATTGTATAAATTTATGATCTTAATATATTTAACTAATAAAATTTAATATATATCTTATTTTTAAGGAAAAATTGCAGCATGGTCCCTAACGTTTTCAATTTTTGCAAACTTTATCCTAACCTTCATTTTGTAACAACAAAGGTCATTAATCTTTCATAAATATGCAGCTGTAGTCCAAGCTCATTAGTTGACCAAAAAAAGTGAGATTTGACAAATTTTGACTAAATTGTAAGGGTTAAAATAATAAGTTTAAAATTACCACATTAAATAAATAAATAAATAAATAACTAAAAAACCAAAAAAATAAAAAATGGTTTCTCCGTCAACCTAGCCACCACAGTTGAAAATCAGCCACCAACACTAACCACAACCTTCAACACCACCGATCATCTTCTTGCTTCTCAAATTTTCCTAAAATTATATTGTAAAAAGTCCAATGAGTGCCGAATTTCATTAAACAACAAACTCAAGTCTCAAGACTCTCAACTGGAGGAAGCAAGAAACCCTCAACCCGCAACGATGGTGGGAGCCCTGCTGGGATTTGGTACCCAGATGTACTCCAATGCCCTGCGCAAGCTTCCTTACATGCGCCGTAAGCACCCTCGCCTTCTTTATTATCGTTATTATAGGAACTGTATCTTGATGTGATTGATTTCCAAAAATTTGCAAATCCATGGGAGTATTTGCTAGGAATGGTGCTAGGCGCGATCTTTGCTAATCGGATGGTGAAGTGGGACACCAAAGTGGTTTGGGGGATGAGGGTGGGGTTGGTGTGAGTGAGTGTTGGTCAGAAGATGTTCAGTGGTAGTGGTGTGGGAGATGGCGATCGGTGTTGGTGGCTGATTTTTAACTATGGTGCGTGGGGTGAAGGAGAAACCATTTTAAACCATTTTGTATTTTTTCGGCTTTTTAATTTTTTCTTTATTTATTTAATGTAGTAATTTTAAACTTACCATTTTACCCCCCGTTCAATTTAGTCAAAATTGATTAAATCCCACTTCTTGGTCAACTAGTAGTCAACATCCATTTGGACTGCAGTTGCATATTTATGAAAGGTTGATGACATTTGTTGACACAAAATGAAGGTTAAAGTAAAGTCTGCAAAAATTGAAAAGGTTAGAGACTGCTGTTGCAATTTTCCCTATT